GCTTTATGTGCTAGCAATACTAGCCAATAGCGGATAACACAGCTCACATTAGCTTGATCATCTGAGCCTGATCATTCATTGCTTTCGACACGTGCCATCTTCAAAGGATCACTTTAAGTTAAGCTTCTTTGTTTCTGTCATTCCGTATTGGAATTCTCTCCCTTCCGCTGTACATAGTTTATTGCAATTTTGAGTTATTTTCTACTGCTATCTGCTGTGTTGATAAGCCTATTTGATAAACTTGTCTCATTCCCTCTTCATTGTAGTCTCTTGTACTTTTGAAGATTAATATATTTTTGAGGTTTATACAATATTGTGGGCCAAATATAGGAGCAGGGGTACATCTAAATTTAGATACTAAATTATTAAATAACAACAACGGCAACAGATCCTTGTAGTCATAGATTTAATCAAAAGTATATTAAGAAGGAGAGCGTACAACAGTGAAATGCTGAAACCATGTTGCAGTATTAGTCGAATTAAGAAACTTTGCCCGTTGTATTTTGATGATTCTTTGTGGTATTATTGATCTTGATCAGCTGTGCTACCTTGCTAATATAAAACAAACCGCTTGTCCCTACGATGCCCCTACGCTGAGATAATGAGTGGTGAAAATCTGGTAGTTTTGCCAAAAACCGACTCGAGATCCTCGTTTGCTGCGACCCTATCTCGCTTTGTGGCCAGAGTGTTGCTGCTGGTCACCGCTGTCTAGCGCCATGGTAGCGCTGACTCATTACGTTTACTACATCCAGCGTGAGGTAGGCACAGGTGGGGGTCATCTATGGCAATCAATAACAGACGTCATTCATTCCATTTGTCAATCATTGACGGAAACACGCGAGGTTTCTCGAAGCATCCCAGAGCGAGGGACGGTCGCCCGATATAACACCAGATTTTCACCGCTCATTATCTCAGCGTGGGGCCATCGTAGGGACAAGCGGTTTGTTTTATATTAGCAAAGTAGGACAGCTGATCAATAATACCGCAAAGAATCGTCAAAATAAAACGTGCAAAGTTTCTTAATTCAACTAATACTGCAACATGGTTTCAGCATTTCACCGTTGTACGCTCTCCTTCTTAATACGCTCTTGATTTAATGTAGTGTAGATATCAAAGAGGAATAGTCATACCTATTTTGGTAACCTTATATTAGTCCACAAAACTCGAAAGGGACTATTGCAGATAGAAAGAAACAAAGGTGATCAAATTGACAGATCAACACTGCAAATAGCAGTAGAAAAATAGTGAAAAAGAGATAGAATCGTGTAGATGAGGCTTTAGCTCTCGCATATGTGCAGTAATGCAAGTATCACGTACCTCCTTTTGAAATTGTCGAATTATAACATGAATACCGGGGAAAATACCAGTTGAGATGTGTGCCATGTGTGAGAGTACACTTGCAGCATGTAACAAGTTAGGTCAAATGTGATAATGAGAATCTGTTAATTATGAAATTCTTGGGTTTTTAGCTCATCTGACATAGTCAGATGCAGCTTGTAGAATCGTATGATCGTGCGTCCGTCCGTGCGTCCGTCCGTCCGTGCGTCCGTGCGTCCGTGCGTCCGTCCGTCCGTGCGTGCGTCAACAGTTGGGCACAAATCTTAACCGCTCGACGTACGGTCACGATATTCGGCACATCGGGGGGGGAATCGTCAAAACGAGTTGGGATGTCGAAGCTGGGGGTCAAAGGTCAAAGGTCAAGAGGTGTAAAAGAAGGCGGAACATTCACTGTTAACTTAAGGAGTAGCGGGATGGGAAATGCAGAATTGCGGCACAAATCTAAACTCCTCAGACCTAAGCTGCGTGATAGTCGGTGTATAGCATCATGTTAGGAAAAGCAATCACATTGTTGGCCGAAATTGGTTAGTTGGAATACAGTCACTAGCACTCAAAATAACACCCAGGAGTGAGGCTGACGAGATTTCCCAGATATCATATCTTCTCTATCAAATTTTGGCAACAATATAGACGCAAGTGTGTACGTTCTTGAGCTTATTCGGTCCACTAATCACTGGCTACCTTGTACTAAATTAGTTTTAGAGATATCTTGCTATCGTATTGCTGTAAATTGTAATCTTGCACGAGCTGCTCTGCCTCTGTTGTATCAACTATTGAGCTATTATTTCGAACGAGCCAGATGTGCCTCGCAAGGGGTTTAATGACCTTTATTAGCCTGACACCATGAGAAAACGGCATGTTATGATATAGTATATATATAGGTATAAGTGGTAACTTTCAACATCCTCAGTTACCAGCGTTTCTCGGTTGGGACTGTGGCGTACGTAGTCGCCTTAAGGGTAAGTGCTCAGGTTGTTGCGGGGTCGACAGATTAACAGACAAGCACAAGTATTAGGACAAGTACTCCTCGGTGCGTCTATTTCAGCTCAATCAGGACAGCAAATATACACCACTCTACGGAAACATCTCCAGACTAAGTCTACATTACACACAGACATCGTAACGACTATTTAGTAACCTTGTAGCCGATTAAGACGTGCGATCGCGAAGATAGCTCGGGGGGTGAGGTGGAAGGTGGAAGCGTAGGAGGGAGAAGATGGCAAGAAGATGATATAGACAGGAATAGGATCAGGAGCAGGAGTGGGAAACCTGGACCGGGTTGCGGGAAAGATGAGAGCCGAGTCCTATTCTACGCTTACGAAGTTGGCGTCAACAAATTCTCCGCGTTCCACTATATATATGACGCGAGGTTGCAATTATCCGCGCGCATCACCAATATGTGTCTGTTCGTGATTTATGGGTGAATTGCATGCCGTGCTGCGGAGAATTAATATTATACTATCTGTCGTGAAGCCGGTGCTTTCCTACAATGGTAATTATTCGCTCCTGCTTTTGCAATTCAGTCGCACACTGACAGCTGCCATTGCTGCAATGCTTTTGCTGACCGATGGCAACGATGCCTTTGATAGCTGGCCGCATCTATCGGAATTTTATTCACACTAGTTTGAAGTGTTTTTTTTGGGTTAGAAATGAACGTATGTATAGGACGTCTTGCTATGCACAAATGAATTTATCAGCAGAACACCAGACACCAGATGAGCCCTGTCGCTCTGCGGCACTTGTTTAAAGCTACACAGGTTTTCTCATAAAATAGGGGCAGGCTCCTATAATGTGAAACAGTCTGCAGAGTTGACCGTTGACCATCTTCGTTCCCAGGACTCTTTCTATCGAAGTTGGACCACTGACCAGGGGGCTTTGCTTGTGGATATATATAGTGTAGAACCAAGCGCCGCTTTAGCGCTTAGAATGAACTCATTTAACCAACTACCACGCCTTAAGGAGTTCTTGTAAGAGTCAGTGTTTACGTTTCGTTAGTTATGTTATGTTCGATTTAAATGCATTGCAATATCACTGATCTCATTCTGTTGCAGAATGGTTTCTACATTGTTGACATTAAAGCTGATTTGATTATCGAGAAGGTTGTTTCTTTACAGTCATAGAGCCTCTGTGCTACCGCCGGCATTCGCCACCTTCACAGAATGTGATGAATAAATGCCTGTGGCAGTTTTATTACACTAAGTGGCGAATACAATTGGCAAAGGATTTAGCTGCCCACTAAATTACGATTGGATAATGAAATCATCCAATAACCGCGTCGTTTCGTAAAATATTTTCGTCCACAATCTTTTCCCATATCTATGACGTGTTTATGCCTTACTAAGCACATATATGATAAAAGAAACAGTGGTTATAGATTTTCATTGGTGTCTAAAAGATAACTTAGGTGGCTCAAGTCTTGGCTCAATCATTCAAAAATGCAGAGGGAGGCCTTGATCCTGGGCGGGCTAGGGTGCTGGGTGCCCCTACTCTTGTGTTGGGTAGAATTCACATGCAGATATTGTGCAACCTAAATTCATCTATCATGTGAATTGTGCAATTGTAGGTTATTGGGTTCAAAATTATATAATATCTGTGTATTATTCTATATATATGTATATTAATATATTCATAATATACATGTATCCATGTATACATGTATATACTTTCTGCGCAATAGAAATATGTCCCATATGATTAAAAATAATAACATCCTACTTGGATATGTAAATGTTGATAGGCGATAATTTTAACAACGTTTATATAAACAATGTTACATGTTAATCGTACATCTGCTTCAAAACACTAATTGAAATATGACATTTTGTTTTCGTATTTACAAGATCACGTATGAAATAAAATGTTCTGTAGCAGTTTATTGGCACGTAGAATCCATGAAAATGCGTGACTGTATCCCCCGTGATGAAGTCGGCGGGGATACTATGGTTTCATGTCTGTCCAGCCGCCGCTGCCGCAGACACTTTCCCTTCCACTCTATAACTCCACCTTTAATTGACCTAGCATGACCAAACTTGGTATACTTACACATCTTGGGGAGAAGGTGTGTTGCATACCAAAACCAGGTCACTGCGACCTTTATTTGACCTCGACCTTGAAATTGGTCATATTTCCTTTCCATTCTATAACTCGGCCCCTAATTGACCTAGCGCAACCAGACTTGGTATACTTACACATCTGAGGCAGATGAGCTGTGTAACAAACCTTTGTCTTTGTGACTTATTTCACTTTACCTACCTTGTACGTCCTTAAGGAGATATTTCATTCATACTAGATCGCGGGGGATACATGTAGTTGGCGACAACTGCCATTTCTAGTTTTATAACATATTCCTAAACGAAATTCAAGGCCATATTTCCCCCCAAACCCCCATCAGTGTCAGCGGGGCTCCAATAGGACATAGGTGTCACGGTGCCCAACGACTGACGTCGATTATCAACATAATACTTGTAGGAAACGTCAGCTTGCATAGGTGGGCAGTTGATGTCGGCGTGCTCATGTGGATTAATGAACTAATATTCTTAGGAGATGGTCAAAATAATTGCAAATCTCCATCGTATTGATATAGACAACCGTGTTCACAGTAAGAATGTCTGAAGCTGAAGAAAGTTGGTGATTGATGTTGATTTTTTTCCCCGCAGGAAGTCGAACGACAGACGGGAGAACCTGCGCGGGGGAAGAAACTGCTTAGCCTCCCACCCGTGTGATGGAGTCTTCCCACTTAGATGTGCCGCCTGCAGGAAGAGAGAAACCATACGCGTGTGATACATGTGGACACAGATTCGCAATAGAGAAGCATCTGCAGACCCACATGCTCATTCACACAGGAGAGAAACCCTATGCGTGTGATATTTGTTTCTATTCATGTTCTAAATTAAGTTGTATGAAAGTGCACTTTCAAACTCACACAGGCGAAAAGCCTTATGCATGTGACACATGTGACTACAGGTGCACTCAACTATCCCGTCTTAAGTCACACAAGCGAATTCACACAGGAGAGAAACCCTATGCGTGTGATACATGTGACTACAGGTGCCGTCACCTATCCAGTCTTAAGACACACATACGAACTCACACAGGAGAGAAACCCTACGTGTGTGACATTTGTTCATATTTATGTTCTCACTTGAGTCGTCTGAAGGTGCACTTTCGAACTCACTCAGGTGAAAAGCCCTATGCATGTGACAAAGGCGAGTACAAATGTACGTCATCAAAATCTCTTAAGCAA